TGCCAATGCCCGGAATGTGCGCCAACTCGCCATGTCAGATGCTCCAAAAGCCCCTGCCTACCAGGCCGGTCGCCTTTTTGCCACAGGTTTTGGTGTCAGCTTGGCATACCTCCTCCTTCGAAATAAACACTTTCAGGAGGACAGTTACTTTGCCAAGTCAAAACAAAGTACCACCCTGGTGCATACGGTAATCCTTTGTTGAAACATCCTGTTTCTCGCAAGGCCAGATATGGCAGCCTCAACATTGCATCGTCTCACGCTACGCTCTAAACCACATTATTGGCTCCACAAGATTGGAGTGTCTCGAACAAAAACAATTAGAGAGCTACCAAGTCTGAACATACAAGTATGACGAATTAAAACAATTAGGGAGCTACCACTTCTCAAAACATGACAAATTCTCTCAGACTCCAACCTGTCCGAAGTTGGTGTTCGCCAGAACGTGCCAGGAGCGGGGCACGAGCCCCACACAAAGCAAGTTGCCGAGTTGCTGTGCCATTAAGCATCTATGGAGGACCTCATTCTATGAAGCTACGCGAGTGATTTGATACATTGCAGTTCCCACCTCATTCTCCAACCCTGCACCCGTTTAACCGTTTGGACTCATTGGTGTCGGTGACCTCAAGCACCTATGTCATGGCCCTACCTCGTTTTGGGGATATTCCTACCTCATGTTGCACCAATTTCAGTACGTTACCCAAACAGTGCGTTTGCCTGGCCTTTACTGTACTGTAATATTCTGTATTATAAATAAAGCCCTTCACTCGTATATTCCACACACACACACACACGCACATGCTGACACCTGCTTCAACCAGGCTGCACAGCCAATCAAGAGTGAGTGCTGCGGCTTCCGGAACGCTGGAACAACATTCGTTGAAAGCATCTGAAAGCCCCGAATTTAAGAGCCTTGAACATGTTGGCTCTCGAACAAGTGTCCTACATTGAGTTGCAGACCCCAATGTGTGCTGCAAAGTGGGGCAGTTGCTCCGCGCATGGCAAGGCACAGTCCCCCGTCCCCCCCCCCCCCGCGGCATCCCACAGCCCTTCTTGGGGGCGCCTTGCCACAGCATTGCTGTTGCTGATGCAGCCATACGGCGTCTCAAGAAAGGGCACCTGACACCAAGCCGTCCCAAAGTCCCGAGACAGAACTAAGGAAGCCGCCCTCCAATCTGAACCTCTCAAACCAACCTTGACCTAGACAGTGGCTTTAGAACATAGGGCGGCTTCGCTTCGTGCGAAGAAGGCGCACAAACTAGTTGGCTGGTTTCTTCCAATGGGGCACTTGGTTGCTGTTGACCCCTGTGCAAAAAGTGTAACTGTTTGTGGGTTTAGTGAAAAAAACTTGATTTCCACAAAACATACACTCTAAAGATCCAACCCAATAGCAGTCAAGGACATAAGCACCTAACAGCCTTTTGGATCCTCAGGCCTTGCCGGTGGGGTTCTTCTCATAGAAGCCAGGCTTCTTCACATCCTGCGTCAAAGAGGTAGGTCCGAAAAACACACATGCTTTGTGTATTCGAGCGCAGGAACTCCAGAGACTCTTGGGAGTGGTGAAAGTAAGATACAGTCCCAGGGGAAAAAAACTCGCAAAGCAGCTGTGCATCTCTCATGGTGCAATCAGTCTCGTTGCGCCTGGCCCGAGCCACGTCAGCATCACAATTCGCCAACCTAAATTAAAATTAGAAAGGAATCTTCACAAATGTTGAACCTTCATTAATAACTTCCCCACTTTAAACAGGGGGGATCCCCAGAAGAAAGGATTCCCCACTAAAGAGGGCCCCCTGAAAAAGAAGTTGGGTGGGGGGTGTTCATCAGGGAAACACCATTAAATTGTGGTTAAGGCTTTGTTGGGTAAGGTCGCAAACCCGCTACAGATTGCGATCAAATTTGCCGAGACGTTTGCTATCCTACTCGATCCAACTAGTGCTGCAACCACAAACATCCGCTTATCTGCAGTGACAATTAATAGACAGTGTGTTCAATTGCGTAATCAAAACTTTGTCAGATTGACTAGAGAATCCATGACCATCTCTCCAAGTGACGAGTCTCAGCAATGCTGAAACGTTGCAAAGCAACAAGTGCCGGCAAAGCATCAGGGCTCTCCTTAGGTTTAATATTATATCGTCATGAATCTTGGTTGCTGCATGTTGCTGCATTGCTTGGAGTAGATTCGACTGTTTACGGGCTGCTATGCTTGGGGTACATGATCTGAGCGCTTGGGGCAGTTCTCTTCGTGGGTATCTCGATGGTTCAATGTTCAAACTTGTGGCCTCAGCATCGCTGTTTTTGCCAGAGAAATGAACCAAAGCAAACCGCAAGCCATAAGGCACCTCCCAGGAAAGGTTCGGATGAAAGTTACTAAGGGTTCGGTTTGTAGAACCTCCTTATAGAACAGGTTCGTATGGGTCTGTCATTTTTTGAGGGCTGGTTTTCAAGGGAAACCACGAGGAAAAACAAGTCTTACTTGTTTTGTTTATGTTTTGTTGGGCCGGGAAAGAGGTTCCCCCCAAGGAAGACAAACCCATATAATCTCTCTGGGGGTTAAAAGACAGGGCTCCTAATTTCTGGCCGAAAGGCTGTCGCTAGGACAGAAAGAATCAAATCGACAGAACTGCCCCTTCAGAATAGTACGGGTCAACCGATTTCTGCACCCAAAGTCTGGTTGCAAGTCTGAGTTGTTTTTTCCACAACTTCTGTCATTTTAACAACATCTCAACAACTTCAAGGCTGAAGCGAACCGAAACCAGGACATCACAACGCCTCCTCTTTGTAAGTGTTGGTTGGAGACTTCTGTCAGCGGATCGCCAGCTCCTTCTGAGCATCGAACTTGGCTGTCTTCAAGGACAGGCCATTGAACTTCGCCGCAATCAGGGCCTGCGAGGCCGTTGAACCTCTGATTTTGTGCCAAAGGCGCCAACTGCCGCTCGCGCGCCACACGCGCGCCCATCGAACATGTCCAGCATTAAAGTGGACGCTAGCAGGGTTACCTCTTCTGACTTCTTTGGGACAACCGAGAAATTATACGTAAACACTGGCATTTTGATTTGCTTCTTCTGCTTCTTCATGTGAGTCACAATCAAAACCTGCTAGTAAAATGGTCCACCCACAAACGTGTACAGAATTAAGACGGCCGCTGCACCCATTTTGGGTTGGGATTCTCCCTTACTAACCTTCACTTGCCCGGGTTTTGAGTGTGGCTCATGTGAGCATCGGATTCGACTTTGGGCAAAACACGACTGCTTCGGGGTGCATAAGCCGTAGGCCTACGATCTCAATTAAATCTCCAAGCTCACGCAGAAGTCTAAGACCCCCACTGCCAGATTGAGCGTGTCTTCCAAGGCTACTCCCCTGCAAACGAAAGGAATTTAATCGGAAAAAGTGGGCTCCTCCAAAAAGAGTTTCCTCTAATGGGTATTTTTCGGATTCCATGTTGATTTGTAGGGGAGCATATGCAAACTGCTCCAAACACCGCAAAAGGTTCCCAACTTGCGCCTTCTCGGCCTTGTACTTGACCTCCTCCACGTAGTAGAGGGTCCCGACCATCCTTACTTAGCACCAAACCAATGAACCAGCGTTTGGTTGTTTTCTTGATCGAATTACTCCCCTACACACTAAAAAATGGACACCCCGCTGCTGGGGTTCCATGGATTGAATTTGTGTCTTCCCCAGTGCTGCATGTGGATGAACAAACTTGGCAAACTGGAGCGACCAAACAAAATCATTTCTTTCCCAAAACGGACGTGGGACAACTGGGTTGCCCCCTTTTTTTGTTGCGGGGGGGGGGGGGAAGCTGAGTTTTGCCCGGCATGTCCTTCCCAAATCAGGCATGTTGTCATCGAGGTATTCCAAACAACATACGATGCTCATGAAGCTCTTGGCAAAGGAGGGTTGAAAGGGCTACCTCTCTCACACAGTAGCATATCACGTATGTCCGACAATGGGGTCCCTTTTGGTTGGTCTTTGAAGGGGAAATAAGAGGAAACATATTCGGACCCGTCAAGCACAAGCTTTTCCTTGTCCACATCGCTGGCTTCGCAACACACCTGAAGTGAACCTTCTGTGCATGAGCACTGACCCTGAAAACACTTGTGTCCCATGCCTCCAACCCAAGGGCTGTCCAATGATAAGGTTGAAGATGGGAGAAGCAGGGTAGTCGGCGGGAAGATAATGCCTTTGTAGACCTTGCAAGGATTAATCGCTAACGCCGTCGATTCAAAGCGATACGCTACACATGTCGGATGGGTCTTTCTTCTCGGAAGCTGGTCGCGAATTGTCAAGCTGACTTGCTGATGAGGCTCTCTCTGTCTGGCGTCTGCAAGCAAAGGCCAGCTCGAGCCAACAGAAACGCAGCTGCAAACGTCAGGATCCATACTGCGGAGAAGATGTGAGAAGCAAGGAGAAAAACAAAATGCAAATCCGAAGGATGCTTTAAGTCTCTCATCTCTCGCTGTGCAGTGTTGAGAGTGACTACCTCCTGCTTGGAGTTGACGCACCACAGGCAACCAGGGTGCTTGTGTTTCTCATCCCATTCAATCGGCCAGCATCTAACCTTCATGCCTGAAGGTTCGCAAACAATGGACATATGACAAGTCCTCTCAGCACATCTGCTAGCCCCAAAGTTATTGGAGATGGTCAGAAGCTTATGCATGCATTGCGGCCTGAGAGCATATCCCATGTTTTCCCCCCTAGACCCGCAAAAAGAAAGACACCCTCAACACAAGACACCCCCCATTTCACATCTGCTGCCTGTCCGCTGGACAGGAAAAACAACACCGCGATGGCACCTTGATGCCTGTCTTGAAGAAGGCTTCCTGGACCTAACGGACGGTGATGGTCATGTCTAGAAAACGGTTTGGATGTTGGAGACGACCCAGTTGCTTGGTGCGACCGCAATGGCTATGAAGCTGAATGGGGATCCATGAAAGTGGCTGGACATGAACTGAAGTTCACAACAAAATCGCATTGTCACCTGTCGAACATTCATTCTACAAAACGGTTTGGATGTGGCTTTTGTCTGCAGAATCTTAAGAGAGAACTAAAGATTACTCAAAAAGGACAAACGGGGCGAAGAACAGGTGAAATCCAAGTAAAAAAAGACGCAAAGAAACCATTTTTTAGATCATGTGGTTCTTGGCTTTCGGCACCCCCTTATTCAGGGGTGGTAAAGAGGAAACACACATTTGGGGGTTTTTCTGTTTGCTCAGGGGCCCTTTGGTGGACATCAGAGAACATTTAGGCTCTATGTCCACCAGCCATTTGAAGGCTGGAAAACAAGGAAATTTGAGTTCTGGTGAGTTTTCGCATGTCCCTCCCAATCCTAGAGCATCACCAGCTACGCTGGTTGGCTGCAGGGGTTGCTGCCAACGGGAGGGGTGGGAAGGAGGGTGGGAAGGGTGGGAGGGAAGGGTGGGGTGGGAAGGGTGGAATGGGTGGGAAGGGAGGGGGGAATTGGGGAAGGGGGAAGGGGGGGAAGGGGGGTGTTTGGCGCGCGTGCGTGCGTGCATGCGCTCACCCAAAGCCAATCAGCCCCACAGAAACGCGTGCAAAAATTACGAACACAATATCTGAGATGTTTTTGCAGAAGCCCCGCTCACTTGATCGCAAACATGCCCGCTATGTCCGCCGCCAGCCAAAACCTAATGTCAGGGGACCATTTTTTGAGGGTTGGCGCGATGCAGGGGATGCAAGGGATGCTGCAAAGCCCCAGGATCCACATGTCTGGGCTGGCCTTCAGCGGTACACCCTGCGGGTAGGGTTGCCCTCGCTCTTCGAGCTCGAAGACAAACGGCGCTGCTGCACTGGACTTGTCTTTAGAGACATCCTTAGACTGGAAATGTTGACCGAAACTCAAATTCTATCATATGAACGCTCGCAAAACAATATCCACCTAACCTTTTGGGGCCATGACTTCCTCAAGCGGCGAATCCGGATGACACCGCAGGCCAGCGACATTCCGTCGGAAGGCCTAAAACCAGGCACTACGATTGAGTGCACACCCTAAAGCGAGAACGCCCAATCCTTGGGCTGCAATCCTTGCCTGGCACGCTAGGCACAGGCCTACAAAGCTACACGTCACACACTACACCGGGCGCTCCAAAAAATGCGCCAGCGACAACAGGATCAAAAGTTGCACATATTCGCACTACCCGGCTGTTGAAACGCACTGCGCAAAGATCATCGGGGGACACCACCTCCAACCCCGGCTCGAAAAACCCGGTCCTCTGCCGACCAAAGGTAAAGCAGACAACTAAGCGCTGTTCCAGAAAAGGAAGACCTCGCCTGCACGTGGGAATAAGGAGAGGCATCCACGCTGTCCATCCAGCTGTTTCAGCAACACAACCACCACGGAGAGTGGACCACTTGACTCAAGCGCCTGAGTAACGAACATTCGCACTGCCATCCACAAACATGCCAAAGTGGGACAGTGAGAGAGTCCCATCTGTAAGTAGGCCAATCCGCCAACCACAAGGCGACATCATCAGGCAGCGAGGTCGAGGCCTGTGCAGCAAGCGTGAGGAGCGACAGGACAAACAACGGCACGAAGTCCTTCAACGGCAAGCTAACGACTGAGGCCTCGGCTGGCCTGATCCCACTGTGCGCGCCCCCCCTAGATGCGGGGTTTGTGGAAGCCTCACCCACCATCGGAGGCATGGCGAGGCCACGGGTGGCGCTACCCTAAGCTGAATGCTTGTGAGCCAGACAGCTTTTTGGGGCCATGATGACTAAAAATAGGCCAAACCAGGAAAATCAACAGGTGAAAAGGTCGATTCGCTTTGGGCAAGTGAATATTCACAGCACAAAGACGTGTGTCCTCCCCTCGGCTGAATCCGATTCAAACGCGGCTGGCGCCTCCCATTCCTCCTCTAGCACGCGCGCCAGAGCGGCCTCGCAGTGGATGGCTTGGCTTGGACAGCTGGGCTTGTACTACTGCAGATGGGTGAAATCCTGCACCACGAAACCGTGGTTTGTTGGTTTTTACATGTGTTGTTTTTGTTTTTTGCTTTGTTTTTAACACAGGGAACCATCATGCCAGGGTTTCTTAGGTTGTGCAGAATTTAGTATCCCCATAGTTGCAATTCATTTGCCAAGCGGGTTGAATGTCCAAGTAAACAAGGATTCCTTTCAAGGAACCACAAGCACATGTGGCGGGGGGTCAAAGATTTCCTGGAGACAACCCGCTTGCTTGTTGCGACCAAGAGAGCCATGAAGTTCAATGGGGATCCGCCAAAGCGGCTAGACATGAGTTGAAGTTCGCAACCAAATCACCTTGTCACCTTTCGAACACTCATGCCCTGTTACCAACCGTGTGAGCAATAAGTCTAAGTGCTTGCAGCTCAAAAACCAGCCCAGTTTGCCTGAGGTGAGGTCCATTTGACACCCCGACAAACTCACAACGCTCGTTCTCATGTATGGCGTGTTGTAGTTTGGGCTGCCTTAGGTCAAAAAGGGCCTGATCGGCAGGGGATGTTCAGCTTCGAGTTACTACTATGTTTGTTATCGCTTCTGATTTCCCAACAGCAAATGGAGGTGTCCCTAGCAGGACATTTCTCAATTGTACCATGGCTCGCAACAAGTTGATCCACACAAATACGGTTTTCTCTCTACGTAGCATGTGTCAAAGTACTGCTCCAGCCAAGTGCACTGAATCAGAAGCACACTTCCTCTCAAAAACATGAGATACATGAGTTTGCTCTCAAGAATCTGCTCACAACGCAAATATTGCACTAGCGAGTGACACACAAATCGCCAAGTAAAAGATGCATTCTCCCTCAAAGGGGCCGAAAGTCTTGGGTCAGCATTTGATCAGCCCTCCGAAGCCCGCGCTACTTAGATTTCACTTCACACAAGGAACCTGAATTCTGTGCGCTCGTACCCAAGGTCCCCATACTCGTGTTGCCCAGCGACCTGGCTAAAAAGGGGAAGCCTTCTTAATTGGACCACTTTTGGTGGTGCCACTGAGGTGCAACACTTAGGACATGGGAAAGCGTTGGGACTGGAAACACTTTGGTGCTGAAAAATGGGGTTTTGGCACCTGGACAAAAATCTGGAGGCTTCTGAGAACTGGCTCACTTAGCGCAAAGGTATCCCATTTCTATGCGGATGGAGCGTGCCTGGGCCTTCTCCTCGTCAATGGCCATGGCTGGTGGGAGCGCCTCGAGAGTGATCTCTGGGACCAAAGGGAACCATCGCTTCATAGAGGCCGCCACTTCAGCGTGTCTTGTTTTTGTGGGGAAACCCTGTCCATCTGGAAGGCCTCCCTTTAACGGTTTTTCAAATTCATAGCGTTCATCTCAGAGGGATCCGGAAGACCATACTCAGAGGCAACCCCTAAAATGGGGCAATCCCCACTACAAGGGGCACCACCCCAAATTGGTACGGTCTTTTCTTCGGATTTCAGAAGCTCCCTTTGTGGTTTACCTCGAAACCCTGGCAAGTCTTCCGCCTTAAAGGCTTCCGCTTCACCTTGCTCAGCAGGGATCTTACATCATACACCTGAACATTGCCTTGTACATGGTGGTTTCCCTTTATTTTGGTGTTGAAAAAGCAACATGTTTCAAATGGTTGCAAACCGTATCTTTTCAGGAGCCCTCAGGCCACCGCCTTCTTGGGTGGCCCCGGGTCTTCCTTGGGCGCTGGTGGCGGTGCAGGCGCTGGAGCCACCTGGGCATGGCGCGTCAGTGGCAGTGGGGAAGTCATTCGAGTTCATGAGTTTAGGGTTTAGGGTTTCGGGTTTTCCGTTTTTTGCGGGGGCCCTCCCAAATTGAACTCATGTTCCTGATGTTTCTCAAAAAAAACTTGTTGCGGGCCCTCCGAGTTTGATCCAAAGTTACAACATTGCCAAAGAGCAAGGACAAGTGCGAAACGTATGGACTTGCCATGCCAACGTAATTGAGTCAACAGAAACAATGATTCGGCACCAAAACCGTACCGTGCTGGCTGAGAAGATGGTACACGAGTTGCTTCAAACAGGGTGGCAGGGCCTGGTTACACAGAACCATTGGGATGACCAAAGGACTTGCCAACAGCGAGCCGCAATGGAGGTTACTCACATCTACCCCTGCTTCACGGAAAGCATGGGCTGCAAAGCAAACCTCCAACAATCCACTGTGGGGTGACTCCGAAACTTTCCAGAACGGATTCAAAAGATCTGCTACCCTACCAGCTCGAGACCAGGACAAACCAGGCTTCCAAAGCTGAAGCCATTGCATAGTTGGCTACTGAATGGAGGGCTGCGTTCCGAGACACTCAAAGACGTTGACAGGGAGGAATCTAATCTAATGAAGAGAAAAGAACTGCCTGGGTGGTTCCTTGACCGGGGCTAAAAGCGAGCTCATGGAACAATGTGCGAAACACACGGCAGAGTGCAAAGCAGAGCGCAGAAGTTTTAAGAGCGGGGACAGTGACAGGAGCGGAGAGCCGAGAGAGCGGAACCAAGACTGGGCAGAAGACCGGAGAAGAGGGGAGCGCAGAGAGAAGAGCGGGTTTGCTTGATACTGAAGTTGGAGGACCTCATGCAGTCGCTGCAGGTTGAACATCAAACAACACAATGAACAACTCGGGCATGGACATTTGCCTGCTATCGACAAAGCAGCCTCATGCTGGAAGAGACCCACATTTCAACTGTCTGCGCTTCTGAATGTCGCCGCACAAATTTGTGCCGAAACTGAAGGACCTGGCAAGCGATGTGACCAAAATTCACCGTAGAGTTGCTTTCCAACGCTGGGCATGGTAGCAAACAGCTTTGTTTCTTCTGCCACCCCTTATCTAAGAACGAACCTACAAAAAAAAAGCCTAAATACCTAAAAAACAAAAAACCAACACCCCAAAAACTAAACACCTAAAAACCCTAAACACCTACAAACAGCGGCAATAGGTTGGCATCGCCAAGGGGCCCCCCAAGTCTGCAGGCAGGACTCCATGTCGAAGCGGCAGTTCGCCACCTCGGCGCGGAACCACGGGAAACGCCAAGAACTTCACGAGGGGCACTTGCTTGAGCCAACCTGCGAAAGCTCACCGCTTGATTCATCAACCCCCATAATAGGAGGTAGGGGGCCCCTCAACCTACTAGTGTTGAACCCAGATTCATCAACCACAGTTAATTATTGGGGGGGTTGGCCCCTCCAAAAGTGATGGTTCCCCACTAAAACCGGGGACACCCCCATATGCATAACCTGGGGTCGATTGATATGGTGTCAACATTACATCTTTGTGGATGCCATTTTTGGATTGGCTTTTGGCCGATTTGTGGCAGACTGGGACCTGCCAAGCAAGTCTGCAAGTGCTGTGCCATCTTGAGCACTTACTTTTGCCCCAAGCGGATTTAAAGGCTAGAAATTGGGTAAACGGTAATGTCTACTTTTGGCCCCATGGTGGAAGGTGTCGTCCATCAGCAGCGGAAGTACATGTACAAAATAACAGGCGCACACGTCGAGGGGACGCCTCCCCATTCTTTCCAGGGATCCTTCTTTTCAGACAACCATAACAAACCCAGGGGGAAACAGCCGGTTTTGAAAAGAACGATGGTTGCTAAGAATGGGGATCAACCGGTAAAACACGAATTGCCCATGACACTTGTCCAAAACTCATGGAGGACAGTGGCGTGCTATAGCCAATGTCAAGGCGATAATGCATTGTTCGGTGATGAGTGTGCGAAGCCCGGAAATTCCCATCAGGTGCCAAGTATACAGCAATTCAACCACACACGCCACTTTCCGGGCAACGCAACAATACAGCAAAACGTCCAAATGACATTTCTTTAGCACGAAACATGAGTCTGGGCGATGAGACGCAATGGGTGCTGCATGGGAAAGCAGTCTCTACGCAACGAAGGCGACAGAGGAGAGGCGCGGAGGGTGTGTGTGTGTGTGTTAGGTGGGGTGTGCGCCAGACTCGGCCACTCAGGCAGTCTAGCAACTTCTGTTCCAATAAGGACTGACCCGGTCGATCACTCGCAATGTAACCGAGGGCCTAGGACAATTGGCTGACCCACGGAGGTGTATAGGGACAAGCCATAACAAAGCAATCTGAATTGAAGAATATGTCCCGCAATCTACTGCGATTGTGGCCCTAGTTCTTTAAGTTCTTTGGTTTACTGGCTGTATATTTAGGAAACCCACCGTATCGGGCCTGTCCCTTGTGTAAGTGGGACTCCGCCCAAAGCTCCCAGCTAAGCCAAGCTTTGGCCGTGGCCTCCAATCCGAAGTATTGCGGAATAGAGTGGCACAACCAGGGGCCCAGTGAACTTGTTTTGGAAGAGACCAAAGGCAGTTGACACTTTTCCGCACGGTGTGACCCCTGGAGCCGTGCTTGTCCAATCTTATCCGTGCTTGTCAGCTTGTCGACAAGAAACCGAACGAATAGTCCTCTATTTTGAGACCCCCACGTGTGCCACACCTCCCGGGGCCACGGTCTCGGACTATGAACCTTTACAATGGTTGCCTACAGTTCCAATGGAGTTGTTGCTGATGGACGAAAGCACATATCCCCCTTGCAACACAACATCCCGCCGCCACCAAAAGGACAAGCGTCCTTAAATGGCCGTTCCAAACAGTGATAACAACCCTCCTCACAATCGTCAAAACGCGATCCCCCACATGTTCAGCACTCCCGCAGAGGGCCCAGCGTCAGTTCGGCCGTCCGAGGAGATCAGGCCTAAGCTAAATGAGTGGATGGATCTGTCTCCAAAGAACTCCTATCCTCTCAATTTTCTATGCAGGAAGTGTTTGGGCTTGTTTCCAAAGGGGGGGGGCCCTGCTTGAAAATACGCCCTAACGCCCTAATGTGCGCTTGCTTGGGACACATTGCTGTCCAAACAACTGACTTGGCCACTTCAGCGCGGAGAAGCATGTGAATTATTGCCCGCGCCCACATGTTCGATCACTGGATTGGATCCATGGCCGGGATTGAATTCGTCTCCTCATCACCCCGTGCTTGAGGTGTTTGATTCGGCGCACCCCCAACAACTGCTTTTTCCCATGTCCAAATTCCCAAGTTCTGTTCAAGATGCAGTTGTTGGGGTGCTGGTGGAGGTTGAATATCCTATTTTGAGGCAACCCCAAATTGAGGTGTCAAATTGAGGCCACGTCGGCCAGTGCTGCCATCCAGGATGATGAGGGAGGGGATGCCCCGCACCTGCCAAACCATCCGGGGCTTGGCCTGATCATCCACAGGTGCAACATTTTTTCGGACCCCCTTGTGCTTGAATGGGCTTAAAAGGCGAATCCATCAATTTTGAAAAACAACAAATGGACTGGCTGCCTTAACAGGACATCTGACTATGTAGCCTGAAGGCTTCGCTTTACACCTCCCATCGTTTAAAGAAAAAATAAAGAGGAATCAGCGGCATGGCTTGATTGTGGTTGCCCATGGTCACAACCCCCAGCGGGGTCCCTTGTTCGGCTCTATTCGCGCCTGGTAGGTCACGCCAAGAGTCTCCTTCTGAGGTGAGCCAAATGGAAGTGCCCTCAGCGCGGCCGGGCGAAACAGAAACGTTACTTGAGAACCCCGGTGAAAATCATTTGGCCTTGCAAATATCCAGCAACCAGGAAGCTAATCGCCATTCTTCACCCCTTAAACAAATCATAGCCAGTTGCTTGTACTCAAGACAGGCGAGCAGCCCACCTCACATGGCACCACACGCCTATTGCCCTGCGGAGCTCGGACGCTCACCCGGTTTTTCCCCGGTGTCTGGCTCAAAACAGGGGGGGGCCTTTTTGACATGGTTGGGCACCCCCGTAGATGAAACACGCACAGATGCCAGAAATGGCCATCGCCTCGCAATTGTGTGATTTCCAGCCGGGGTAAATCAAGATTGAGGAATCAGATTGAGTATCTACTTGCCGGTGCTCAGTAGTGAATGTGGGAATGAACCCAACATACCCCTTAAAGGAAATCATAGAGAATGATTGAGAAGGGGTCATTCCATTTCTCATTCCCTGCACCTCTCGCACCAAGCCTAACAACGCGATGGACCGCCATGGGTTCCTTCTAGCCGCAGTGCCGCAGTGCAGCTCCACAAGGTTCAAACTGCAACTTGCGGGACAAACGGTTCCAACAACTCGGTGTTTCAACTTCTCCCTGGCCCGCAGAAAAAAAAAACAAACAAACAGCGTTTTAGGTTCAGTTTCGCATTGACATCAAAAACAAACAGCGGTTTAGGCGAAGTTTCGCATTGAATTCAATGACTTTGCCAGGATTTGCATTCTGACTGATGCGTTTCTTGCTGGCGAAACACATAAGGGTGCGTGCTCTACTGAGATGCCCGGTGGCTGTCACAAAAAAGGGCATCCTTGCCTGGTTGAGTTTCAAGGGGGCCCCTTCCAAACAAAAAAAAACAGGTCGGAAAAAAAAGGGCTGGGCAACTGGGTCTAAAAGGGGGGGGGGCATCTTGTACAAAACAAAGATGGAGCTTTCCTCGCGCCGGGGAAGCGGCAACCAGGGCATCTCTCCATAGTACCTGGGACTCAAAGCAATGGCTGCCCTTCTTGGCCTGCTGTTCTTGGCCTGCAACAAGCGTTTCACGCTTTAATGGGGCCCAACACGGAAAATCTGACCTGCTTCGGAAAAAGTTGAAGCCCACAGATCCAAGCAAATCGCCACACAGAAGGGAATTTGAAGGGAAGCCGCTCATTTTGAGGGCTCCTCCTAGTTGGGAAGCGCCCACTTCTGTACGAAAGCGGCCCCCCCAACTGACTCCATCACAAGGCGGACCAAGGCCATTGAGTTCCCCCCCCAAAAGTTGACCAATTTGCTGGTGGGTTTGAACCGATCGCCACTTTTGGAGGCCCAAACAAGGGAATTGTGGGGGTGTCTTTTTTGGGGGGTGCCCTATTGTTGGGGTGGGTTCTAAAAGGACACCAAAAGGCCTGCCAACCACCAGCTTGGGGGGTCCCCTGAAAACAGACACACCCATGTAGGAAACCCTGCCAAGCCTTGCCGAGCAATAAATCCTCTCGGCCCATTCTCGGAAGGGCACGACTGGAAGTCGCTCTCACTGCCTGCAGCGATTTCAGGAGAGTGAGTGACCTCTTGGCCATTCCCAGTACCCTGGAGGTAGATGCAGCTTCCAAGCAATGTAGCAAACAAACTCCCATTGGACAAACTGTGCTTTGAGACAGGACCTCGTGATGACCTCGTGATCAAAAGCTGGCAAGGATTAAGGAAGTCTGGCCTCTTTTGGTTTCCAAATAACATTAAACCCAGGAGAAACCCTGTGGCAAACAAGGGATGCAAAATTCATGTCCAATCGAATCCAATGTGCTTCCCAAAGACAGCCATAGGTTGAAAGAAACGCTGCACTCCTCTGAACAAAGGTCTGTTGAACATAAGAGGCCGCACCTAAAGCCGCGCTCTCTCGCCGGGGGAGGGGATCAATGATCCATAATAAAAAACCGGTATTAACATGGTCCACCAGAACCATGAAAAGAATTGAAAAGGTGGAATTCCACACCCATTTGTGGCTGGGATTGTCCGTTACCCTCCAAGTACCCGGTTTTCACACGGGAGGTCAAGGTACACCAAAAAGCAACCGAGAATGTGCAACCAAAAGGATTTGGAGAACGCCCGCAGGCCATCAGAGGGGCCAAATTTGGTCCAAGGCACGGTCGCTGGACACGAAGACCACCGCCAGCTGCCTGACTGCTGACACATGCCAGCGAGGTACCCAAAATGGGTTGCCCCTGGTAAATGGAAACGACTGAAACCTGCGGTTCACATCCTGGTGGTTTAATTTTGACCCAGCACCCAAATGGGTGCTTCTCCGAATTAAGGACTTCAGATCGATGTGTACTTACACCCTTTCAAGCCATCAAAATGGTTTCCCTTCGCTGTATATTATGAAGGCACGGCCAACCCGAATTCACCATCCCTATTGGGAAACCACTAGAAATGGGACCCTTTTTGTGAGCCCAACGGCTTGCGGATCCCGTTCAAACACTCCACTGACGCCTTTTCAGGTCGAAGCGCGCATCTCTTTCTCTTGTGAAGGCTGGCAGGGATTCCAAAGTCGGGCTTCCTTTCAAGAAGGGTTTTCTGCTATGTCGGGCAGAGCTTTGGTACCGATGGAAACTCGCTTTGGACCATTGGCTATGATGCGAAAGGCTAGGAGTCTATGAGGAACTTCCAACAACAAATGCTCGCCAAAGGAACGCGCGCCAACAGAAACATGATCCAAGAGCGGAACGAATCTCTCTAAGGAACTCTGCACAGAGTCATCAACACAACGGATCGGTATTGCATGGTCTACCCAAAACCTAAAGAAAATGAAAGGGGGGGGATATCCGCGCCTATCTGGCCATGGGTCAAAATCCCGTACCCCCAGTGAAAAACCCAATCCCCACTAAAATAGACTAAAATGGGTGGTGCACCTACCCCAAAATGGTACCATTATTGGTTTTGACCCACAGCCATCTAAATTTCTGGGGCTGTCCCTTCACAACCTTCACCTACCGCCGCCGAGCTGCGGGAAGCGGTTCCCAGCCACCGCCGCCGCCAGCTGCGGCGTAAAGCCGCGGCCTCGAGGATTTGTTTGGATGTTCGCCGAGATCGGCGCGCGATGCTGTGGACGAAATCCTGCGCCATCCAAGAAACTTTGGAAGGATGATTCCCCTGTAAATACAACAATGGGTTTCCATGGATTCAAAGTGTTGCGGGATTTTGTCCATCCACAGTATGGGGTTGTCTTTTTTGAGGGCACCCTTTTTGGGCTGGTGAAAGAGAAACGAAGAAAACACCAACCATTTCCAACCCATACGATGCAATGAACTTCAACGGCTGGAACCTCCAAAAGGGTGGATATGCATCCCCATGCTTCTGGTTTCCCCACATATTGCCGCACACACAATTCATCAGACTCATCCGGCGCACGGTATGGTAGCCGCCGTGGCATGCGCTCGCAAGCACGGCTGAGGGAAATGGAATCCACTTCTGTGATACAACAGAAAGGGCTTCCCGAAGACTAACCTTCCATATGAAGAAAAAACATCCCTTGTCTCACAGAGAGTGGTTGGAGAAACCCCGAGCGATCCCACCGCTCTGTCTCAAGGTGCCCGGCATGGGGGGCACCAGTGGGCGGAGAAGTAAAGCGCCACCTGGGTCTCAAGTCTCTCGTGGACTCCCCGAACTGGGCTCAGAGTTCTCCTTCTGGTGTCCCTTTTTCAAACGACAAAGAAGGGGGTGCCCCTAAAAAAAGGCACACCCAAAATGGGAAATGGACCCCGAAAATGAACTGTGTGTTGATTCTTGTCCCCTTGCTTTGTTCGGAAAACAACACGGAAAAGTGAGTTGTTTCAAAGAAGACACACTCAATCAGAACTGTTCGCGAGGTTGCACAAAAAGACCCTCCGGGTAGACATTGGGGAGGCCGGGAGGCTTTGGTCACCGTTTACTGGCTCAGAGCAATCCTGGGCGTTTCAACTTGGAGGTCGGGTTTTCTCCAAAGTCAGAGGCTCGGCAAAATCGGAGCCAGGCTGAAGAGCCCTCTCTTGAAACAGCGCGCACAGGCACACAATGAAGTGCGTCATGTTGACCGATGAAGCAACCGGAGTTGTGGTTTGTAGGTGGGTGGAGGCCCAGTCGCAAGCTGGAACGGGACACACCAATTTCATCAACCACGGGTTCCGGAATCCTCGTGGGTGAGTTGTGCACGGTAACCCTGGTTGCAAGGGACTAGTTGATCTGATATGTGATATGAGGTTCCGTCAAAATACGCTAAATCATTTGAGAGCAATGTCAAGAGCCCGACAGAACCGGAGACGTTGATCGAATGTTGGACCAATGGCCAAAGCCTCTCACTTGATTGTACCCAAGGGCAAACATGAAGTGCTGAACAAAAACTCCAATTTGAGACCTCATTTAATCTTGGCTCTTTGGATTTATCATACAGAAAGGTCGCAGGGGCCGATGTGTGGGTGTGTGTGTGTGTGGATGTGTTTTTGTTCAGAGTCTACCAAACTAAAATTAGGTGCATAACATGGATGAGCTCTCTGCTTGGGAGCAACGAAGTCGTCTAAACAGTGTCCGCCTCCATTTGGTGATTTTTGGATTCTGCCCCTTGCACAAACATCCATCAGAAACAACCCATTTTGGAGGTTCCCCTATTTTGGGACGCACCCAATTGAGGTTTAGAAACCCGTACCGGTTTGAAACGGGTCTCCGGTCCCAACCCAAGTATCATTTGCAACGTGTTTCGATGTACATGCTCTCTCAGAGCGTGTTCTATCAAATGACACGTATTCAGTTGTCTTTTAACATCACTTCCTTTTGAACCCCGCGAATTTTGCTCATGATTCTCGCCGGATGCGGAATTGGTGCTGCTGTCCTAAGAGTTTAACGGTTAGTGGGCTAAAGGGAAACCCAACAGCTAAACCAACTAAAAGCCTAAAAACACCCAAGGCACCGGAATGGTTGAGAACCAACAAGTCCCCTTTCACTGCTTCAACGGGAAGCGGTTTCACTCAAAAGCTCGCCTTTTGGAGGTTCCCTTTAAAGGGAAATGGCTCGGAAACGCCCAAACCGGTGGGTCCAAATCCGAAATACTAAAAGAGCCACCCACGTAGTCTTGACCCAATGGCCCATATTCATCAACCGAATTCTATTAATAGGGGGTGATGATCTCCCACATTTCAGCCAGGGAATAGTACCCCCCAATTAACAAACTGGTTGATTGAAAATTAACATGGGCTCAACTTTTAGGAAACCCCAAACTGCTTCAACGCCCAAAGAAAACCCAAAGCAAACCAACACAAACCGCGCCAAGTCCTGGGCCCCTGGCCACCTTGGCGCCTGCGAGAGCCGTCGCAGTACTCTGCAGCCTGGACGCCGGACGCCGTGACTGAGGACAACTTCTCGGCTTTCGGGGCTGAAACTGAAGCTGGTGCGATAGGTAGAGGGAATGAACCTGGGGATTCCCTTAAAGGAAACCATAGGGGATGGTTTATAGGAAGACCACGGCAGGGTTCTCCATTTTTGACTTTGGACGCTGGCATCTTGGATTTGGGGAAACTGGCATCTTGGGGTCTCAGCCGGGAGCCAGTTTCGGTCAGGGTCGCACTTTTTGGCTAGCCCAAGGCAGACTTAAATGCCGGGTTCCCCTTTTGGGGGTGGAACCTTAGACTACGGTGGATGCTTCAAAAATTGCAAGTAGACACCAACCACATGAGGGATTTGCAGTGCTGCAGCGACCCCTCTGCAAAAAAAACAATGAAATTCAGTGGGTCCATTCGGAAAATCCGACCTGTTTCCACTTCAGACAACATTTTTGTGGCTCGCAAATAGGCGTCCTTTTGGGACAATAGATGGTCCCCAAGAATCGCCATCTATTGTCTATCAAAACAACATCAAAAAGACGCCTATGTCTGGAAGACTGATTGTCAGTCCAAAAGGGCCCCGGGAGGGAGAGTGGCCCAACTGATTGGTTTCCGTTTGAATCGGCCAAGAGTCTCTCGATGTGTGTGGGTGTTCTTGTGTGTTTTCTTGTGTGTGTGTGTGTGTGTGCCTGTGTGTGTGTGTGTGTTGCGTGTTGTGTGTTCTGGGGCTTGTGCGTTTGTGTGTGTGTGTGTGTTCCCGAACTTGTGCGTTTGAAACCCAACAGGCAAAACCGAAGTCAAGTTCCGTGGCTCCATCTCCTTTGGGACAAAGCTATCCAGGCAAGCCTTCTGTAGCATGAAAGGGGAACTATGGGAACTGAAGGAAACCGGCCTAAAGTCGCAAATTGGGCAACACCTCACCCGAAACCTTCACCGAGTGAAATTCCCTTTCTTGCTTGATGCCTGCCCTCACCGAAGGACCCTTGACTAAACGCGGACCAAAACCAAACAATCGCACTGAACAACTCGGAATCCGCCCCCCGAACAGCTTCAGGGATCGGCCTCACTTTTTGGATCCCTCGATCGACGCCGGGCTCGTTTTCTGGGAGCTCGCACCCGGACTTGGTGACGAGCTGCGTGCCCAGAGTGGCCTTCACGGAGAAGCTGCGGGGGGCGATGTCTCTTGAACTTGTTCAAATGGCTGTGGCTCAAAAAAACGATGCCAAAATGGAACGCAGAAATCAATATAGTTCACAAGCAGAAAACTCGGGGACGCCTGAGAAACCTTCGTCATGGGGCCTGAGCTTGGCTTTGCCCCCAGGCAATTTCGCTGCAATTTGTGCAAGCAAAAATTGCCCAATTTCATCCGAGCAAACCTTCATTGTGGGAGTCCGGCCCAAATATATATATGTATATATATATATATATTATTCAACTCCACACAAGTGACACCTCGCCTCTGCCCAATGACCGGTGGCTCCTAGCACGACCCGGAAGCCGCATCCTGTTTGTTCTAGTCGCTTCGGTATTCTGTGCCGATGTTTGAAACTCCTTCTAGCGCAAGCCCAGACTTGTCCATAGTCGCCCGTTGCAAGGAGGTTTGGGTACAACATGAACAAGTGTTTGTCAGTTGCACAGCTGAAGGCGAAAATCGAGTGCAAGCATGCACCATCTTCACCCATGACCCTTCCGCTGCGGTCCTGCAGGCGCTGGGGCCATACCTCTTGCAGGGTGCAAAAGCACATGCGGCGCTGTATGATGACAATAATTCAGTGCTTTAAGTGGGTTTTATCTTTGAAGAACACTCTCATCTGTTGTAGGCTAACAAGATGAAATGATGTCCGAAAGCTTTACCCCACCAAAGGCCCTGAAGTTCTAGTCGAGTTCACAGTGCAAGGCCAGTCTTAAAGCCTGTGACAAAGCTCTCCCTGCCTGCAGCAGTTGCAGGGATACCTCGGTCGCAGTACACAACAGGAATCAAAAGAATATCCCCCAATCTGATGTGGAAAATAATAGTATATACATCGCTGACTCGGGCAATGGTGGTATGTGTTTTTGGTTGCAGACGAAAAGAGCCGCGGAATCAGCCTTGCTCAGTAAGGGGTTGAAACGCTGGGTTTAGACCGCACCTCTTTTTGGTTCCTTGGCTCAACGTCGATCGCTTGGTGAACTGCCAGTTCGGTCTGTTGGGCCGCCCCATTGGTGCGCCACCAATAGTACACTTTCCAAAGGGCACTTCCGTGGTTGGGAGGGTAAAGCCAAGAATTTGCCTTTTCCACACTGACTCCCCTGTGTTGAGATGGGTGGCATCTTGGTATCCAAACTTGGACAAGGATTGACTCTCAGTGTTTGAGGAAGAACTCCAAGGCGGTCCTACTGGGCATTTTCCAAGTGAAGTAATGGGCTCAGTATGTCCTTTTTAAGGATTCTTTCGGGTTTCAGCAAGGCCACGATCAGTGAAAATCCCAAGGCAAGATCGTTAAAGCGGTACAGTGGTCATGTGGCTGAACCACTTTGCTTTTTTTCAAGGGGCCACGATCACCACGCTCTGCTGCCATTTCTCGGCCCAGGCCTTCCCGATTCAACGCCCAGGCGCCGTTGAAGAGGTACTCCACCGCCCGCTCGGCGTTGTTGAAGGCGGCCGCCAGGGCCTGGAAACTTCGCCCATCCGCCGATCCAAAAATACGGTGGATGGAGGGGAAGGAACTCCTGCAACACTTTGAAACCATGGTTGAAACTATAATGTTTGTTGGCATTTGCGTTGGGGAATCATCGGAAACCAGAGGTTCTGAACGATGGTGCGAAATGGAATTCGTCCATCCACACTAGGGCATGGACCCCCCACCCCAAAAAACAAAAGATTCCCGTGGCGTGGGGACAAAATTATGGTTGCCTGGGGCGCGTCGTTGGCCCGCGGATCTTTGGATGTGTGGTTCATATTATCAAATCCCCTATTCATTTCTCAGGAATCCTTGTGAAAAAAAAGGGCCCGAATCCCATTCTCTGTGCAGAAGGAGAGAATACGTAGACCAATTGAGAAGATTCATTCGGAGGACTTGCCTTGAAATGCCCACCAACAACATGAGAGACGTGTGAGCGCCTGCTCCACCTTTGCCCGCTCAAAGCCCATGCTGCACAGATTCTGCACCACCTCTGGGGAAGCTCCTGGCACGGTCCACAGTCTTCCCCCCTCCCCTAAAAAATAGCAAAACATATGTTGAAAGAAGTAAAATAATTTTCAGAACAACTTACCAAAATATAAAATATAGGTTTATAATTCAAATTTTAAATAAGGTTAATACATTATTCATATTCATTAACCTTATCTAATTCCTTGAAAAATAATTTTACTTCATTGAAATATTATATAAGGTTAAGAAGTTATTCTACATATTAACCTTATACAATTTTATGTAACATGTTTATTAATAAAAATAATGTTAATTTTCTTCTGCCTGTTTCATTTCTAAATTTCTTTTATGCTTATTTGTTTTAAGATGTTGATAATAACTGTCTTGCCTCATTGAACGATTACAAACATCACAACTTACAATATTTCTTGACCTTTCCTTTTTTGCTTCCTGCTTCTTTTTTCTATATTCCTCATCTTCTTTAAATATTCTTCTTTGCTCCTCGTTGTATCTTTCTTTATTATTTGCTCTATGATTTACATTATATTCATTACATTTTCTACAGCATAATCTACCTTCTTCAAATTCATCTTTATTTTTTATTTTGGTGCATTTGCTACAAATCGCTGTTTTATCATGATTTTCTCCCATAATCCTTAATATATACTACCTACAACCCTTTAAACAGTTTTTCCTACAATCAATATTCCTTGAAACTAAATCTATAAATCCAAATCATAAATCTTACAATAAAATTAAATTGTAAGGTTTATGGTGTAATTTATAATTTAAGTTCAGGATAATAATTTAATTGACAAATCTCATTTGTTTCATACATCATTTAAAAATAATATTAATATCTCTCACTGTGTTTTTAACATTAAACTTTTTATAAATTTCAATATAACATTTGATATATTCTTTAATAGCGTCTCCTTTCTTTTGACTATGACACAACATCCTTAATATATCATAAATCATTTCATATTTTTCTTACTGATTTTAAGAAACTGTTTAACATAAACGTAAGGTGGTAATTTATTTACAGTTAAAAATATCAAAATATCATCTTCTACATTTCTTTCATCTATTTTTTTAATCTCCAAAATATGTTCTATTATATTTTGATATCGTCTCCATCTTCTACAAGTTCTACATAAATCTTCTTCACCCAAAGCATAATCAATAATATTATTTATTATTCCATTAGGTAAATTTAATTTATACAATTCCATATTTTCTTTTTTGAAGTGGCAACAGTCATAGCATTTCTTATTAATATACTTATTGATTTCAATACCGTTCATTTTCTCACTAATATATTAAGTCACTATTTCCTTAAGTCATTTTCAAAGAATGAATATAAACTTAATTTCTTAACAAAATATTACAAATCATAAATCTTACAATTTATTTTTATTGTAAGGTTTATGGGTTAAAATAATAGTCAGGCAATATGTCTTCAAATATGTAATCTACATATTTACCTATATCATCTTCATCTATATATTTGATATTGTCTTTTCCTATTATTGAATACATATATTCCCAGAAAAACAAATTAACTAATAGACATACTTTATATTTAGTGTTGTAGTAATACCATATACTATATTCAGTTACTCTAAATCCGTTCAAGACTTCATTTATTTTATCTTTGTCTAATAAATGCCAGTCAATCCATTCAAACAAATAACGGTATTTTTTGACAAATGCTTTATATGGTTTAATTGCGTTTATTCCTCCAAACCTCCTAATTAAATCTATATTATTAAAGAATTCATCAATTTCATTTTCATATGACTTTCTGGAAATCTTCTGGTAAAAGTGTATAGGAAATCTTGCTTGGTGTCGCATAAAGAATTTTAATTGTAATTGAAACTTTGTATATCCCTTATCCTTATGTTCTTCAACAAAAAACTTTTCAAGGTCTCTTGTTATACAGCATTGATTGCAATATACATTATATTCACTTATTTTATTACATAGATTGGCGGGTAATAACTTACTCAATGTTATATTAACATCATTCTTTGTATTTTTACAGCATTCGCACTTGTTATAGTTAAACAACATTTCACTATATTATATTGAGTCATTATTTCCTTAAGTCATTTTTAGCGAAGTACATGAGATATTTTTTGTTTTGGTATTTCTATACGTCGTTCATATCCTCTGACCACTCCGTCAAAACTAAACACATAATTTACAGAACTTTCACCTGCTAATTCACAAGTTTTTATTAATTCATTAAAATCTTTTTTCAACTGCGTCTCATCATGCTCTAATTCAAGGCATGATTTAAACCCTTCATAAAAGTCTTTCTTGTTAGTTTTAAAGTATTTAACATCTAGCAAAGCATATTTATCTCTTTCACCTTCATAGTGTTCTTTTACCTTTCTCATTTCTTTTATTAATTCTATTCGTTCTTTTATTTCTGAGTGTATCTTCATTACTACATTAAGTCATCATCTCTTTAATTCTCCAGTGATGACTATGTCATCATATTATTCCATTTTCAATAGAATAATGACCATATGCTAAACTATCACCTGTATTAGTCCAGTATCTTTTATTTTCATAACTATTCAAACTAATCTTTGTTGTTCTAATACTATAAATTTTATGGTTTTTACTTCTAATACTATTGAATGATTTATGTATAACTTCATTAGTTTGTAAAACCTTATCATATTCTTTATATGTCAGTTGCCTCCTCACTATGTGCTTTGCTGTGCCCTTGCATTTCTTATGTTCTTTTTCTTCTCCATAGATTTGAAAAGCGTAACACTTAGGACGAAGTCCAATAAACCCTGTAATAATTTTGCTACTGCATTCATCCTTAAATTTACCCAACGTCTTTTTATTAGTAGTATCATAGCATTTATGATAAATAGGATAATCTGAAAAATCCATTTCATCTTTAATATCATGAAGATCTTTATAAATGTCATCAGTCTTAGTATGAAATACAAAACTATCAGTGTCAGTATAAACCATTCTAATATTATCTCCGTATTTAGGTTTCATAACATCATAATAAAACTTATACATATGTTGCTTACTCAAATCTAAAATACTCATTCCAATGAATATAGGTTTATCTAATTTCAATTGTGCTTTTTGTTTCTCAACTCCTACTAAATTATCGCTGATAATATGACTATGTTTAAATGATGGATTATTAACACATTTCATAAATCTTGTTTCATCACTCACTATTTCAAAATCTAAGTGTTTCCTTTTGTCTTCCATCGTTTTTCCGAACACGGCATTATTCATTAATTTGTAAACATCTTTCTCAAAATCATTGTTGGCATTCTTTCTTTTCTCAGTGCTAAATTCAATGTAAGGTTTTAATATCTCTTTCTGACTGAAGTTTATTGCTCTGTGTATTTTCTTTAGTTTCAATCCGTGTTTTAAATAAAACTGTAAAGTTCTAATATGGACTACATACTTTTATTCAATATTAATTTATTTGTTTTTTTCATCTTTAGGTTTTTTCTTATTCAGTATTTCATAAATTTCAACTTGTTTATCTGATAACATATCTGCTTTAACATTCATAATTTCAGGTGCCATTGGATAGTCATTGTGTAAATCGTGCAGTTCTTTAGGGTATTCTAAACCAACTTCTAAGATGTATCCAGTATTACCATTAGCATAGTTTAAAATATCATCTTCTGTTATTTTAGTATCCCACTTTAAATTTTTGTATGGCAGCTTTTGTATCATTGCTAATCCATATAAGTTATTAGCATCAAAATAGTTAATAACTACTTTCTTTGCAATCATCGCCCATATAAATATTAGTTGCCTCTACTTTCTTACAGGCAGTCTGTGTCATCCCACCACGAAGTCCGGTCTCTATCATTTCATACATATCTTGGTCATAAACTAAATCTATTTCAACACCAGTTAATTTTAACATAGCATCAAAAGCAAAATTAGGCAGTGTGTAATAATATACTGGATCTAAACCGTAATCTTGAATACATACATCTCTAAAATTTTCAAAAATATCAGTTAATAACAAAACATCTGTTTTCAAATACAAATCGTGATATTCACCCATGTTTTTAATCTTAAAGTGTTTCCATATTACTTTTGCTTTTTCATAGTCTTCATCCGTTATATTATCCTCACTTAACCTACTGTAAAACATATCTTTAGTTGGTAGACTTTCATCTTCAAACTTTTCTATTGAATTCATATAGTCATACGGATAAACTCCCTTCTCTGTTAATAAGTCCAAACATTTTTCACTTTTAATAATATCATTATTTGTACTAAATCTGAAATTGTTCTGCCAGTTGTCTTTTATTATCCATTTTCTTTTATCTTTATCATCTGTGTTATCATATTTTGTCAATGATACTAATTTATCTAAAGAAGCAGTTATAAAACTAAAACTGTCCTTAACACTTAAACAATCAAAACCGATATTAATAAACTTTTCACTGTTCTGTGCTATTACATCTATTTTCTTCTGATTACTTAACTTATCAGCATTTTGAATAATTAAATGTCCATCATAATTTTTCATATTATGAAAAACACTGGTATTTTAAAATATTTATGACAAAAGTTTAAATTACAAATGCTATGAGCACAACCCCTATATTTACCTGTGAAATGGCAATGGTCACGAACTTTCTTATATTTCTCTGCTTCCTTTTCATTCTTATAATCATATCTAAACGCGTCACCACAAATAAAACAATGAGTTGCATTTTTAAAGTCTTTCTTATTTTCATCACTCATATCAATTTCTTTATTTTCTTTCATTTTGTCTTTAATGTCTTCTCTTATCTCATTAATTTTACTACAAAAAACATTAACGGCATCACTTCCTCGATATAAATATTCATAATTAGAACCATCAACTGAATTAACCATATTCAACATAAAACCACAGGGTTTATGTTCTTGATAATTGTAAGTTTTAATACTTTCATCTGTTGGTTTATCAACTTCCTCAGTTAAACATTCAAAGTCAGCATAAATAACAAATGGACACCTTAACTTTTTAAA